ATGTCTATGATAAAATTATTGCAAGTTCATCTATTGCATTTACTAATGATGTGAAGAATTATTTGAAAACTAAATTCAAACTAAAAGATTTAGGGAAGTTAAAGTGTTTCCTAAGTCTTGAAGTTGCAAGGTTTGATAAGGACATTTCTATATGCCAAAGGAAATATGTGTTAGATTTGCTTGAAGAGTATGCGTTACTTGGTGCAAAACTAGTCACAACACCAATAGACTACAATCAGAAGCTGACAAAGGCAAAAAAGAAAGAATTATTGCAAGGTGGGACTATCCATAAGAAACTTGTTGGTAAATTACTTTATCTGACCTTTACAAGACCAGATATAGCCTATGCAGTTCATATATTGTCTCAATATATAGACAAACCAAGTAGTGTTCACTTACAAGCAGCTTTTAAAGTTTTGTAGTACCTTAAGGGGGCACCAAGGTAAGGTATCATGTTATTTTCATATTCAGATACCAGATTAGGTTTACAATGATAGTGATTGAAAAGGTTGCTTGGATACTAGAAGATCTGTCACTAGTTATAGAGTTTTTATAGGTAAATCACTTATAAGCTGAAAATCTAAAAAGCAATCAGTCGTGGCAAGGAGTTCCACTGAGGCTAAATATAGGGCAATGGTAACAGCGTGTTGTGAGGTGCAATGGTTGTTATTTCTACTACAAGATTTCAAAATTTTTCATTTGGGTTCTATTGACTATATTGTGATGATCAATCTTACATAAGTAAAAACCCTATTTTTCATGAGCGTATGAAACATATTGAAATGGACTGCTATTTCATTAGAGATAAGGTCATTGATGGAGTAATTTGGCCATGATGTCTACTCACTAAGTTAGTAGATATCTATACAAAAGCATTGCAACTAGGTCCTTATCATGCACTTCTCAGTTAGAGATAAATTATTTATTTAATGAAGGATACTACATGATAGATTTGTTGAGAAGTAGTGAAGATAAGAAGCACAAGAATTTTAGATGTTTAATGGCTTTTGTATTCTTGATGTCTACATTAGTTGTTAGTGAATTACTATTAGTAAATAGCTAGTTAGGCTTTTATTATAGTAACTCACTTGAGTAATTACCATGTAAATAAACTGTTAATGTTAAGATCTTTAGGATATTTTTCTTCCTCTTTGTACAGATTTGTTACAAGTTTGTTACCTAGGTTAATAAATAAGTTGGGTTTTTTGTATTGAATGTGACAAGAGAATAAAATGATATTCCAAATCCTTTCCTCTTCCTTTTTTAAATGTTTTTTTTTCTCTTAGTTCACAATATTTTACACACTATAAAATACAATACAAATTGGTGTACAACAGTAATATTAATACCAAATTTGATCCCATCTGCATTTGAGTCATTCGTTTGATTAACTTTAAGTCTAAACACAAGTAATTAGTTCCTACTCTTTTCGATGGAGAATACTTAGCTATCATGAATTCTATGACAATATCACCTTTTTTTTTTTAATTTCTTTGGTGATACTCGATCTATAGGCTAACTGGTCCAGTGCATATGCTTTCTGTGTAAATATATAACACTGACCAAAAATTTTGGCATTAAAGAAACTTGGATCTTCAACTATGTAAGTTACTCCTTGTCTCACAAGCATGCTTGGTGTGTGCTAGCTACTAATTAGCTTAACAAGAATAGTGTGATATATCATTCCTATTGCTTGCATGCATTATATATTAACCTAAACATATCTTCGACATAAACCCTCTAAATAAGGCATCCAAACAGCATAAATTTAGGTCCACGTTCAGATCAAACACTTGACGAAAG